CCTGCTGAAGCCTAACTGTATAATTCTCAGGAGTAAATCTCAGTAAAATGTTAAATTTGCTTATATCTTGGGAAGTAGCAGAGCTGTGTTCTGTATAATGTGCCAACTTACGATGGAACCTCTTGTGTCATCTCCATGGTTTTGCATACGCAGACAATATATTAAGGTACTGTTGTGTTGCTTTACAAAGTAAAGTTTTGTGGGCCTTTGAAAAACCTCATGATAGTAAGCCATCATAACTACAAAATACCACATTTTGGCTGCCACAAATATCCTATAATGTGCTGTCACCAGTTGTTTGCTTGATACTGTTCACAGCACCCCTTCCATCCTGTTCTGCCCTTCCATTGGTTTTCAGTAGCATGTAGGTAATTGTCTTTTGGGTTGGGTTTACAAGAAGAGCTGCCTGGTTCTGACACCTGTAGTTTTGATGGGCAGCTAAAACAGGAAAGTTGTGTTACCATAGCAGCACTGTGTGGCATGTGGATTGTAGTTTGTAGATATCATTGTGTGTAATAGGTGGTGAAAGTTTGTGTAGATTTGGAGAGAAATTGTATAACTTAAAAAAAAAAATCCACTGAAGATGTCTATAAAAAAAAATTCTTTCATAGTCTCAGCTCAAAGACTTAGTAGGTTTTCAACACTATCTCCATATGTTTGCTGTCTTTATAATTAAATGTTCTACAGCAGCAGCAGGCTACTGGGGTAGATTAACTTTAGGTCTAAGCTAGTATAGCTGCTGTTTTATGAGTGTAGTAAAACAAAAATAAGATGCTCTTAGAACTTTGCCATTTGATTTTACTTGTTCTGTCTATTTTTGTTTAAAAAGCAATTAACTTGTCTGCAGCTGGCCCTAGCTCATAAGATCAAGCAAAACTTTTACAAGGGTTATTTGAGTCCGAAGTTTAAAAAACCCCAACTGTTTCTCTTGCCAATGATAAACTTGGTTAGTTAGAGCACAGTGAAGTCATTTTAATCTGTCAGGTGGGAACAACTTTGGCATATTGTTTCTAGTCATCTGATAGGGGTTTAGGGCTGTCTGAGATAAGCTTTTTGTTAATACCAGCTGCATTTCCTTTAACGGCTGCTTCAGTGCTAGACTTGCTACTAACTATAGTTTGATGCACATTGAAAAATAAATGACAGTGTAATTTAAAAAGATCTACCTGGAATAATAAAACTTTACCGGGAAAAGGGGAGGCTTTAAGAATAGAGCTGTTGCTATAAGGAATCACTATGTAAATTTATTCCTATGTCTTAATTTCAGTTTGGAGGCTTTTAATGTGTAAGGGTGAGTTTTCATTACAGACAGTGAAAATTAAATTTTGTATTTTTTACATGCTAACTTTATTGGTAGTACAAAATCATATTAGGGAGTCTTTTTTTCCTCTGGAGAGCTTTGGCCTGGGCCAGTCATTCCTAGGAAGCCAGCTTTCTGACAATGAAAAGCAAGAGCCAGAATTTCCTTTTTATAGGGTTGATACATTATTTTTTTACTGTAAAAGTAGAAGTGTTTTTTGCACAGAAGAAAGGACAATATTGGATGGGATATTATAGTTGTGTTCTGGGAACACTTCTGAAACATAGACAGTGTGATTGAATTGAGGTTTTGTGGAATTCTTGTTTTTCCTTAAGTTTACAGTTTATTGTTTTCTGTAACTACCAGTGTTCTTCATACATCTGACAAAATCCTCTCTAATCTTAAATGAGGACCTCTTTTAATATCATTACTAAATAATTATTTATTTATTTTTTTTTAAATTTCCAGTATAAGTGGCTGGCATCTTCACCTTCCAAGGATGCTTTCAAAACTAGAGCAAAGAAAAGAACTATTGTCCTGGGAAGTGGTCGAAAAGGAAAAGCTACTATTCGTATTGGTAATACTGTATTTCTTTTGTCTGACGGTAGTAAATTTTATCTACAAAATAATTAACTGTTTAAGAACTTTAATTGTAAAATACATTATATGTCTAAATGTTCTGTGTCTAAACAGAATACTTGTTTTTAAAAAATTTTCCATTTATTCTTAAGTCAATAATGTGTCTTTTACCACCAGTGATTTCTGTAGGAAACTTGTGTTTTTAATGCTGCTAGGTATGTGGGTGGAAAATACGCTGACTTAAATACTTGGAACCATTGCATGTGTTTATTCTGAGTGCATCCTCTCCAGAAGCTTTCACTTCTAGGAAGTCTGACTGTAGTAAGTTGCCTAGTTCTTCTAATGTAACCTTTCTGCAGCAGACTATTCTCTGCTGGAACAAGGCAGCATGCACTTTTAAGTGGTGTACAAAATGTTACAAGATTTTTTTTTTTCTTCATGTAAACCTATTATAAATAATGTTTAAAATAACATAGGTATCTTGAATATTTGTAATTAAGTATTGATAGCTGTGATACACTACATATTTTTCATTAAGTTACTAAGTTTCACTGGAATACATTGGGCTGTCTTTCATCTTTGCTCTAGTTATCTGGAAGCAGAGAGGTAAGCATAAAAAAATATGCAGTCTTTGTACAAATAAACTGTGGTGATCAGGGTGATGGAAGAAAAAAATGCTGGACTTAAATATAATTATGATGTGTTTTGGGTATTTTTATTTTTTTTTTTTTATTATTTTTTTGTGACTTGGGATAGGATTGTCATCCCCACCAGGTATTTATTCTGAATCTACTTTCAACGACAGAATAGATAGAATAGTGCATGATTTAAACAACTGCAAAAGACTGGACTAGTTAACATTATTTTTCATTACTTTGTGTCTTAAATGAAGACATTGCTGACGTTTTGTAGAAGTGGTCAGCAGGAGTACCAGCTTTAGCTTCAAGCATTTTGCATTACAGAACCAACGTTCTTCACACCGAAGGCAGTAGAGGGCGATTTGGAGCACATGATAGCCTGTCTAAGCTCCCACGTGAGACAATGGAGTTAGGCATCTGAGATTAGTGATATGAATAAACCTCTTTACCTACAAATAATTACCTACAAAACTTTGCATCCTTTTTTGAATAACTGTGTGTTACTTAGATCAACCTAACATAACAGTTACCAGCTAATAATTGTGAGCAGATAAGCTATCTACCCCTTTTCTTGAGAAGCCAAACAGAAGCTTTTGAACACTTCAGCAAATTCAGACTGAAAGACAGATTTCCTGAAGTCCCTTTTATTACATAAGAGATTTTACTTATGAACTGTAGTCTGTGAATTTATATGTAAATAACTAGGTATAATGAATTACATTTTCTCCTATTCTTCCTGTTCAATGCAGGATTAATACCTAAAAAGTCTGTGAGTCCAGGGAAGAAAAATATGTCTGTGGAAGATAGCTACTCCCCAGAGCCACTACCTCCAGGCACTAAAGGCTTCCTTCCTTGGCGGACTGCAGAACGTGCAAAAAGATGCAGGTGAGCTTTTCATAGTACAAAGAAAAATATTAAAGTGTAAAACATAAATGATAAATGTAGTAGAGAGCAGTGTTAGTTTTTAAAAATATGTGTTTGAAGAAAAATATGTCTGTGGAAGATAGCTACTCCCCAGAGCCACTACCTCCAGGCACTAAAGGCTTCCTTCCTTGGCGGACTGCAGAACGTGCAAAAAGATGCAGGTGAGCTTTTCATAGTACAAAGAAAAATATTAAAGTGTAAAACATAAATGATAAATGTAGTAGAGAGCAGTGTTAGTTTTTAAAAATATGTGTTTGAAATATACACACAGAAATACATTTTATAGCCATAATTTTTTCTGTGTATGCAGATTTTGAGAATGTTATGTAAATTCTATTCCAGTAAGCTTTTAAAATACACCAAAAATTACGATTTTATGACCACAGGAATATTCAAATTTAGCAAAAAAAATACCCATAACCAAACCCGTCTTGCTTGTTTTCTTGTTGCTATGATTTATCAGACGTACAACTGAAGTGAAATTTAGTGTTCTAAGCTTGTATTATTGTTGATTTGGCATCCGGTTCAAAGTGCCTACATGTTTTTTCCACCTCTTACATAAACAAAAAACTACTTAATGCTCTATCATAACTATTTCAAACTTATACTTGTTTTTCAAAATACTGAATACCAAATTCTCCTGTTTAGTTCATAATAATTAACTAAACAAGGTGCCTATTGGAGATACTAACATTAGCATCCAGTAATGTTGCTCTAATTAATGATTAAGTAGGAGTACTAATAGAACAAACTAAGGATGTAGTGACTGTTAAAGGGAGACAGTGCACTGTCTTGTGTTGTTTTTACTCATAGTGTTTCACCTATCCTAGAATACTGTGTTTGGAAATAGAAGTAGCAATGGTGACATTGTAACCCTGCTTTTCTAAAAAATGTTTTTTTTCTAACTTTAGAGGAGGTCCAGTGGATAGCACTAAAGAACGACCAGTGAAGATTCAGGTACTCTCTCTCTCTCTCTTTTATGGTGGTTTATTTAGAAGATGAATGCCTGAAAAAAGATGAAAATGTTCTCAACACAGTTTTATTGTCTAAAAGTTAAGACAACAGTACATCAGCATTTGGTTGAAACTTCTTTGATAGTTCCCATATCTGTTTTACTACCTTTTGGTGTCTTAGCCTTATGAGCAAGCTGAGTTTCAGTATGGGCACAATCCCTTCAGAGACAGTAAGGAGAATTAACAGTATTTTTCTGGTAAGAGTTCTGCTTCCCCCTTTCTCTCTTTCCTCCTTTTGCTTTTGGACTACATACTCATGTTTGCACCCATCTGTGAACACCTGCAGTAAACATACCAACAGAGGAAGAAGAAAAAATCCCCTCTTTCTTCTTTTCTTTTGCATTTCATTTCCATCTCCTTCCTGCCTCGTCCACCAGAGAAAAGCTGGGAAAGTGTCTTTGTGTGCACCAATGATTTAAATTGGCTCACAGAACGGTCTGAGGGTTGCTGAAGCCAGTGCACTTACCTTTGGGAAAGCCTGCTCTGGCACAGGCTGTGCACTGGCCAGAGCATCTTTGGCCCATCCTTCTGCTCAGGCATGGGGTCTGCCCTGGGCTGGAGCAGGGGTATTGCCTGCACCACGGACCACTTCTTCCTCCTCTGAGCCTGGAATTCCCTCTGCTCTTTCTCGCTCTTCAGTGCCCCTTCTTTGGCCTGTCTGGCATTTTTTGCCCTTTCCTAAAAATGCTTTCCCCGCAGCACTGCCATCTCAGATGTAGGGCAGCCCTGCAGGGGACTGGTTGGAGCCCCAGCTGGTCCTCCAAGGGGACTCCCAGCAGCCACCTGCAACTAAATCCTTGCCACATACACCCAATATATGCACACGTGATTTTTTGAAAAATACTGGTTTATGCAATTTTACTTCAGAATTGCGTAGTTAGACAATGTGTATGTATTATAAGGGACTCTGGAAAACAACTACATTAAATTAAGCTTTTGGTGCTATATGATTTTTTATCTTTATTGCACAGTGTAATGCACATGAGTGGCTGTGTTTTTTTTTCTGATATAATTAGACAGGTATTCCTGTGAAAGTGACAGTAGAAAGTGCTTCTACATCTGAAACTGAAGATTTAGATGATGTTTTCCAACATCCTGATGTAGCAAAATCATTAGATATGATTAACGTAACAAAGTATGAGCAATTACAGGTAAGAAGCATGTTCTGTCCATTGAACTCCAGAAAGGAAACAACGTCAATCAAGCCATGTTTTAATCAGATAATTACAGTGAAGCTAATAACCAGTTGTGGAACAGGACTTCACAATAACTTTTGAATTATCCTATATTATGTTACACAGGCTTCTGTTTCAAAAGAAGTGTCTCAAAAATGCACTGGATTTCCAATCTCTCAATAGTCCCAATGAGGATGCGTACCCTATAACCATATTGTCAAATCAGGGCTATATTAAGGAAGAACTTCACTTAATACATATAACTCAACATGTGTAACTTCTCTGTTCTAGTCTTGAATCCTTATCAGTGTTCATCATTTTGACCAGTGTAGTCTTTTCATCCAAGTATGTCATTTATAAATACAATTTACTGTTATTTCTAAAAGCTAGAATATTGTACTGATTGTTGTGTAAAAATACTTTAAAAATAACTGAAGGTGTATTAAAGCTCCATTTTATAATTGAGCTTGGTCATACACTTTTAAAAATTTGCTTTTTATTATTCCTTCTATTTCTTTGCTAGTTCAGAAAAACCTGGTAGCAGCAAGACTGATTACTGCTGCAAATATCTTGTCCAGGAATGTTCTCAGAAAAGGAAGGAAAAACAAAGGGTGTGTTTCAGTGACTCAGTAATGCTGCCAAGGTATTCTAGCACTGTTATGAAGTAAGACCCTCTGGCAGAATAACTGGGTTGTTTCTGAAGTATTAGGATTTTAATTATTTTTGTTTTCAGAATCTGCATTGCTTCCAAATGAATACTGCTAAAAATAAGACCTGTAAGTCAGCCTAGTTTTGGTGGTGGTTGTCGTAGAGCACCACAGTGGGTGAATGAACTTGTTGATAAATATTGAGACCATATAGCTGTCTTTATGTAAGCAAAGTTGAAACTTGTTGCAGATCTATATGTAGTGGGAGAGTTAGGGTGACTTAGAGTTACTGTGGAAGGCAAACAGACCGTACAAACACTGCATAAATAACTATGTGCCTGTTTTTCAGCTGATGTATACTTTTCCCTTATTCCTACCCTTTGTCTCTCTAGAACTCTTGTTCAGGAAGGTTTTCCAAGTTTTTACATGTTGCTGGGACTTAATGTTGTATAGAGGCTTTCTTCTTTGTAGATGATACCGTATTACTGTCAGTGTGCAAGGTGTTGACACTGTGCTGTGCAGTGACTTCGACAATCTCATCAAGATCGCAGTGTCTGGAATAATGGAATTCAGTGCCCACCTACCTATTGCATAAAAAAATTCTGTGCAGCAAGTACAATGCTTTCAGGGAACACTTGATGTATTTATTCTTGGAGTTTGGAGAGGGAGGAATATTACTTTCAGGACACATTGTGGATACAGACTGTGTTTTCTGCTTTGGGGAAGGGTTGTCATATTGACCTATGTTGTCAGTGTTACCTGTAGTATTACATATAGAGCATCTGTAAGGAAAGGAGAATTTGTGATTGGTTTCAGCTTCCTGGGAGATAAAACTACAAATTCTAGAAAGCTTCCCAAAACTGGTTCTAAATTTTCCTGTGCTTATAAAAGTCCAGATTTTCCTCATTTTCTGAATTTGAAGACCAAATTACTGGCTTAGGCCATGGTTGCCTATCTGACAGCACTTTTTAAGCAGTCTGGAATTGTTCATGTGCCTCACCCTTCCTTTTTGTTATATTGATGCAAAGCACAGTTTCATACTATGTCAGAACTGAACAACTTGTCACCATTGAATTGTGAGCTCTATTCCCCATCCTATCCCTTAGTGCTTTCCCATTTCTTGCTCAAGCCTTTTTCTCTCTTGTGTCTTTTTTTCATATTTATCTGATCATAAGGCAAGTTGATTCAACTTGCTGATACAGAGAAAACTCATGTAGTGCAGTAAGGAGAAGTGCAGAGCCCCAACCCTGGGGAACCTTAACCCCATACAGTAGTACATGCTGAGGGCAGACCATCTGGAAAGCAGCGTTGCAGGAAAGGCAATGAGGGTCACGGTGTACACCAAGCTAGACACAAGTCAGCAGAAGGTGAATGGCATCCTGGACTACATTAGGAGGAATGGTATCAGCAGGCCAAAGGGGATGTTCCCCTATATTCAGTGCTGGTGAGCACCATGTCGGTTTTGGGCTCCTCAGTACAAGAGAGGCATGAGCATAATGGAGAGAGTCCAAGAAAGAGCCACAAGATGGTTAAGAATCTAGAGCATCTCTCTTTTCAGGATAGACCAAGAGCTAGGACTGTTCAGCCTGGAGAAAAGAAGGCTTGTGGGTGATGTTACTGTTGTATATCAATACCTGAAGGGAGTGTGCAAAGAGGACAGAACCAGGCTCTTCCCAGTGGTGCCCAGTGACAGCACCAGAGGCACTGAGTACAGGCTGAAACACAGGAAATTTTCTCTGAGTATCAGGGAACACTTAATACTGTGAAGGTGACTGAGTACTAAGACAGATTACCCACAGCATTTGTGGAGTCTCCCTCCTTGATGATAACTAAAACACCACTTAGAGACAGTCCTGGGCAGCTTGTTGTAGGTGGCCCTGCTTGACCATCTGACCCCCAGAGGTTTCTTCCAACTTCAACCATTCTGTGATATTTTTCCAGGTTTGTTTTTAGCCATCTTAATGACTCATATTGGCTTATGTGATTGGGTGCATTCCAGAACTGGAGCACAGTATGTGGCAGAAGTCTATGGCTAATAATATGAGAGGGGAAGTGGAAGACCCTTTTAATATGTGTTATGTTGGCTTAGGTACTGTCATTAAACACCTCTTACTGCAGAGCTGCTTGAGTGAGGAGCTGACTTGTGTAACTCACCTACCTGAAAACTACTCCAGTGTATTTGGCTGTAGCAGGCCTTGGCACAGCCTTTTCAGTAAAGCAAGACAATGAGCTGTGCTAGAACAGGGGTCAGATTGCAGACTGGGAATAAAAAGTAAAAGGTGAGAACTCTTAAACTGTCACTGTGCCAAAAAAGCTCTTCAAACATCCTTTATTGTAAGTAGATTACCAGACTTTGGGTTTAGTATGCAAGTCTGTTGGAACTTCTCTGCATCCTTCAGCTCAAAAAGGGATTTTAAATGTACTGCTTAGTGACAGTATTAGATGTGTTTTCCTTTTTTAAAAATAAAATCCTGTAACTAATGAAAAGCTTTATTTCTGCTTAGATGAAAAACAAGAAACAATAAATGTCAGACTTGCCTCTAATGAAGAATGTAGTTGAGGAAACTCCCAGATTTTGAAATATAGATGGTGAACTTTACTCTTAATATCATTAGCAGGGTAACTCTTCCTACACATTAATATTACGTGAATTACGTAGAAGTAGAGATTGCACTATAACTCTTCTAAAAATAAGGGCAGCAATGCAATCAAGTAGAAAAACATGGCTAATTAGTGACTATATTTTAAATTTATTATTTATTTTTTTTGAACTTCAGTTTTATATCTATGTCTAGTGTTGAGTAGTCATATTGTATACAGCAATTACAAAGGCTACAGATGTATTTGCAATTCCTTTTAAAGGCTCAGTGCTGTCCTTCTGGATGACACTACTAAAGAATCAGTTATAGCTTGGAGGTGCATTTTCCTCTGATGTATTGATTTTTTTCTGTACAAAGACTGGAGGATTGCATAAGTTAGTACATTTCTCAAAACAAAATAAAAGAATAAAGCATATATATATTTGTAATTTAATGGTGACAAATATGTTTGCACAGGCACAAGGTTTTAAATCTAGAGTTCTGATGCTGCTTATGAGGAGATATAGCTGCAGTGTTTGTGATTTTTTTGTGAAGTCAGCCCATAATCATAAAATATTGTTTACCTCTACAGTGGGATAAATCAAGTTCAAACAAAACTATGAATCCTCCTAATTTCTTTTTTTTAAAAAAGTCTTGATAATTTAACTATTTCCTAAGCCTTTGTCCTTTGAAAATACAAAGAAGCAATTTGAAGATCAGTGGTGTCACGTTTAGAATTGTCTAAAACCTATCCATAACAAAAATACTATAGAACTAAGGTTTATAAAGTAGAGTTGCTTGCCAAAAATATCCTACATCGTAGAAACTTTGGAATATATACAAATACATGCACAGACAGTATAAATGGAACTGTAAGAATTCTTCAAGGCTGTGGCACCTGTGACTGATCTTCAAAGCCAAGTTTCAGGATTTCAGGTTAAATGTCAGGTTGTGAATGTAGAACATTATGGTTACTACTTCCTGTGCTGTGCTTCTGTAGCTATGAAAGGATTTCTAGCTCCTATGATTTCCACACTTTTTTTGGGTAGATTGCAGTAAGATGATGGTATTTGTTGAGGATTCCTTCTTGAGATTTTTCCCTGCATCACATGCCAGGAGGCAATTTTGTTGCATCGTGGCAGTTAGATACTGTTAGATCTCTTCTCAAATGCTGCCTTGGAAATGTGTTTTTTGCTCTATTTTCTTACCTTCTTACTTTCTTTAGTATTTAGATTATAAAGATAAGACTTCGCATTCTAGGCCCAGGGTTAGTTTGGTTAATGCTAGTGTAGGGGATTTTATGAGTGAGCTTCACTGAACAACAGTGACAGACTCATGATCTTCAATCTGAGTGGTTGTCACTGGGAGGACTATTTCATGATTATTTTAGAACCTGCATCTTTGAATCAGATTCACAAGTCCCTTGCATCCTACAAGACCTGTGAGGACCTCTTTGCATTTGTAGGATTATTTTTACTATATATCCTGTTGCACACCACTCCTCTCAGTTGATTGCTTGTATGAGATGCAGTAGGATGCTCGTGAATAAGCTTTTGATAGTGAACAGGTTTTTTGATAGTAAAAAGGTTTCATTAGTATTTGAATCTTTGTTGCTCAGTAGCACTGATAAGGTGTGTGCAAAAAGCAGTGTCCTTTTGTTACATATATGTGGCTGTATATAAGATGTATAGAGATAAGAAGGTTTGGATACTGTTAAATCATGTAGGTTACCCTTTGAAAAACAGAGCAGCTTGATAATTTGAACAGTTTTCACCTTTGGAACCAAAAGACTTTGTTAAGGCATACAAGAAAAAAATTATTCTCTTTTTTTTTTTTTCCTTTTTCTTTTTTTTCCATTTCACTTCAGAGGCTGTATTTAAAGATGATTATGCTTTGCTACGATACAAGAAGAAGTGATTGTTTATTAAATTCTTACTACTGTTTTCTGAAACCAAGAGATTCACTACTTAAAATAGTAGTCTAGGCATCTCATGAATAGTACCAGAATATATGTGTTAAGATGTTTGTGTTTGTTTTTGATGTTAATTCAACACTAAGATGCTTAACTCACTCGAAGAGCTTGGGGTTGTGAAAAACTTAACTTTCTCTGCTGAAGAACTAAGTGAAACCAATTGGAAGGAATACAGTTCTTAGAATTCAGGATTTTGTATTGCTACTGTTGTAATAAGCAATAAAATTCTGGAAGAAGAATGCATTCTGAAAATCTAGGTATGGCTAGTAAGGATTTTTTTAGAGTCTGATTTGAGCTTTTGATGAGGAAGATGTATTTAGTTAAAAATGAAGATTGAAAAAGCAAAGCGGAAGAAGAGAAAGTAGAGAAGAACATACATTCTTGATGGTGATGTCATAGGCCCAAGAGACTTGTACTGTAATCCCATGTTATATATTGCAAGTTTGTCAGATTAATCACAGTTCCACTTTCCAGTGTAAATTTTTTGCATCCTATAGCTATATACTAGTTGACCTCAGACCTCTGTCATTTTTTTTTGTCGAAGATATGTAATTCTTTGTAATGCCATGTGCTAGTTGCCAACTGGATATATTAAATGTTTGTATACTATTGCATGTTGATCTGACATTTTGCAATAAATTTAACGGTAATTTATCTGTGTTATGATAGTTGGACCTGGAAGAATGCATGGGAAAATTAAAGGAAGAACGAAGAGCCAGATTAAAAGCTGAGGAACGGATAATAGAGGTAATGATACTTAAATGTTAATCATGTTTACTTTTAAAGAGGGCACCAATCAAACTATCCACTTGCTTAATTAGTAATATTTATCAATGACCTCTGATGTGGTAGCTTCCAGGTTTTCAGTTCAAAGTCACATGGAACGTTTGCTAGCCTAAGTGCAATGATGAAATCTATTTAGTAATGTGTGTTTGTTCTCCTCATCCTATTCCAGAGCCTTGAACTCCAGGTCAAGCTACTCTTTCAATATGTTTCATTCACTTGGTATTTTATTTATGATCTGGGGCATCCTGATGTTATTTTTTCCTGAGAAAGTGATTAAATCTGTTTGCAATTTGCAGCAGATGGATAATTCTTTGAGGTATCCCACCTTCTTTATCATTAATTGCGTGAAAAGCTGTTTGTTGCAAATGTTGTTTAATTTGGCTTATTCTGTCCCTTCAATTTTTAAGCTTGTTTCTGCAGGCAGTAAAAATGTTGGGTGGTTTTCTGCACAGCACATGGGCCATAGTTGTCAGTTGCAAAGTGCAGTTTTGCTTCACTACAGAACCGAATTCACAGCTTGTCACAGATAAATTGTGAGGTCTATTTCCCCTTACTACATTGTTGCTGACCTGAGACGATCCTTTTGCATCATTAAGCAGAATTTCTTGCAATAGAGTTTTGTGTGAGGTAGTGTAAATGGATGGTTCTTGGATGTGATCTGTAGTGGAATGAAAGTGGTGGTACCCTTTGGATCTGAGCAGCAAGTGGTGCCTCGTGGTACAGGCAGCAGATATTCACAAAGGATTCTGCACTCTGCAAGGTTCATTGTAGTCCTCTGGTGCAGCCATCCCCATCGTCCTGTAATATGAAGCGCACTGGTGGGGTCTGCTGGATATCTATTGTTTGAATACTTAAATGCCCACTACAACAGATTCATTCTCTGTCATGCTAGCATGCTTGGACCTAGCAACTTGTCTTAGGAGACAAGTTAGGCTAAACTAAATAGCAGTAATTTCTAGAATTGTTTCTTCTTATGCGAGTTTAACAGAGAGTTTAACAGAGTTACAGTGCACTAAGCAGATGTGTAAATTTTTGTGCTCTCACAAAAGATGAAAGAAAGCTTGTGGTGTAAGTGCGTGCATAGATGCAATCTTAAATGAGTGTCTGAGTTAATGTTTCCCTCAAATAGAAAACCCTGTATATTCTACAGTTACCTTTCAACTTTCAGTTTGTCACAGATTTATTGGTGTTCAATGTGAAGAAAAATCAAATAATCTTAAACTTTAAATTTGGGGTGCATAGTGCAGGGGAGAGATACAGTAGCATGCATTCCCTCTTAATTGTTTACCTTAATTAAGGTTTTTTATTAGTAAAAGAAATGACTTGATGTTAATCTGCCATATAATACAAAATAACATGACACAAAAGTGAATTTTTTTGCATGCAGTTACTCTGTGACATTCAGTACATACTGAAGACGCTGCTGATCCAGCAGGTTTTTTTTTGCCTGCAGCAGTTTCACTGTGGTAGCACAGAACTGCAGCTGTAGCTATATAAACTAACAGAGACACCAAGCAGTGTCCTGAATATTTCTGCTACAGGAACCTGAGTTCTGTTAGTTACTTTGAGTATTTATTTCTCTTTATGTATGACAATGCTCCGTAGGCTTGCAAAGGTGAGGCTGAGTTCTTTGTGTTGCTGGTTTTGGTGTTTTTTAAAACTGACAATGATAGAAATTACTTTTTTCTTTTTTTTTTCTTCCTTTTTTTTTCCTCCTTAGCTGGAAGTAGAAAATGCAAAATTAAGGAATCAAAATATCTCCCTATCTGAAGTTCTTCATGCACAGTCAGTAACCAACATGATTTTGGAAGATGAAGGTGTTCTAGGCAGCATTGAGAACTCTTTCCAAAAGTTTCATGCTTTTTTAGACCTCCTTAAAGATGCTGGGTAGGTTGTCACTTCATTTAAGTCTTACTGTTTCTGATGAGACCTCTTTCCAAAATTATTCTTCCGATGAAGCGTGTTGTCTCCTCCCCCTGCTCAGATACCTTGGACTGTGTACTCGCGAAGAGCAAGGGAAGAAAAATTAACTATGTACCTACTGTTTAGACTTTTCTCAACAGGAAGAACACGATCTAAGCACTGTCCAGTGTAATTAATGTATTTGTCCTTGGGAAAGTGTGTTTCCAAGTCTTTATTAGATCAGCTGTGGCTTTTAGCATTCCCATGGTATGAAAATGTCAAAATGCTGTTAAACTGGCTTCAGAAAGTGTCTTGTTGCCTTGGGTCCTCTTTTACAAATTTACATACAGAAATCTAGATGGATTAATCTAGCCTCCATACTTAAATTCTGTATTATTTATTGTTACTGGAAATATTTTAGAGAGTATTGATTGAAGTTCGTCTTAACACTCTCCCCCTGTACCTGCAATTTCTCAGAGGATGGTACGCCCTTCCCATTTGTCAAAGAATTTCAGCCTAAGTTCCCAAAACTGTTGTGTGAAACGTGTGTTGCCAGACACTGCATTTTCATCCAGAAGAATGAAGGAATTGTCTGAGGATATATTGTAGTCCATTCTGCATGTTCAGAGAAGACCAGGGAAGATTTTATGTGTGCTCCCTGCCTCCTGCTTTCATCCACCTCCAATTTGTAATAATATAAAGTTCACCCAGAGACTGATTTAGTTTTGTGCCAATCAATTGGCAGAGTTGTCATTACCTTAAGGATGATTCTCAAACTTTGGAGGAAGGAAAAAATGCTCTCTATCTACATAAAACCCAAAATTTCCAAAAGGCTCTTACTCATGGTAATAGGGAGCTGCTCTGAAACTTACATAATCCTAATCACAAAGACTGCTCTTCTCCGTAACATTCCGTTTAATGCTATGCTATCCATTGATGGCTGCAACTTCTCACTTCTTACTGAGGCTTAATGCAACCAAACAGTAGGTTTGTCAACTTGTAAGCTGGCAGGTGAAACTGCATAACTGTATTTGTGAGACAGGCAATTAGATTTGACTGCTGGAGATTATTCTAGTTTGGGAGATGTGCACCAATCTTCCACTTGAATGTTAGAATTTTAATCTTTGTTCTGCCTGACAGGGAATCTGCTTGCCAGCATCCTGCTCTGAGATCAATTCTGACTGGGAGAACTTCATTCTTAGCCTTGTAACACTGAGTGGAGACTGACAGTTTTGAGTCTGCAGGCTGCTTTGTGCAAAGATAGGAAAATAGCTTTAGCTACTTGTTTTCATCTTTATTAATCTATTTTAGGCTTCTCACAAAATAATGGAAAAGCTATCTTCAAAGCTTCAAATGCACTCTGTTTCTTCTTCTGTTTTTGCATGTTTAGATCTTCCACAGGGAAAGAATTTTTGTGTAATTTTTTAAACTTTATTTTGCAGACTTGGACAACTTGCTGTGTTAGCTGGAATAGAGCAGTCAGATGTTTGTCTTTTGGGGCATCCACAAATGAATTCTACACTCAATAAGCCTAGTAATGTGCTAAAGGAAAAGTCTTTTGAAGAAGAAAGAGAAGAACATGCTCAAAATAGCAAAGTTAAGTCTGTAGAGGTAATGCTAGTGGCAATGTAATTGGTGCTGTTCAGTATCCTTTTCAGCTGTTGTCCTCTTCTGACTGCAAGTAATTATTACCAAATCATCCATAAATTTATTATTGCAATCTTTTTGCTGTACCTGTGTTTATACGATATTAATTCCATGATCAATGTAAGCTTTTAAAGTGATTACCATTTGGGAAAGAAACCATAGGATTTTGTACTGTTCTGAAGAAAGTGTTGGTGCTAATTATGTAGTTTCTTATTCTGACATATGAAGTTCCAGTAGTGCTATGAATCCATTAGAAATGGAAAATACAATGACTAGGTTTTTAAGGAACATTTAATAATGATGTAAAGAAGTTTTACAAAACTTAGTCTGCTAAGAGAGGGTAGGTAGTACAGTGTGCATATTGAAAACCGGGATTTTTTGTTAGTTATGGCAGTGTGTTTGTCCAGTCTGCTAGATTCCTGAGGGGGCTATACCATGAATTTCAGACAACTACAAATTTGAAACACTAACAACGTACAGTTTTAGTTTCCAGTATGAAATCAATAAACAGAAAAATTCTGGATTTTTCAAGAGAGATATTACAGTTACCTTAAAAAAAGCCCCAAACCAAACCTAAAACAGCAAGACAATTAAAAAGTGAAGATACTGGCAGCCTACAACCTTGTCCAAGTTGGGTTTATGCCAAGAATCATTTTGCATTCTAGTATGTTTCTTATAGCCAGTATCTTCCCTGTTAAAGTGTTCCAAATTTCTGAAGAACACCACCAGCTTCTAAAACATGATGGTAAAACGTGTGGTTTGCCACAATGTTTTCAGCTGAGGGACTCCTGCACTGTGACATTAACTTACTCATGCAGTTTGTTTTTCTAATTCATCTACATTTAGAAGTCTGAGCTTAAAGTCTTAAGCTTAAAACTTAAGTACACATGGCAAAGGTTGATTACAAAAAAACTTCAGCTAACACTACTCGTTTTTATCTCCTAGTATTGGTTAGTTTAGATTCTTGCAGCAGCTAGGTATTGTGAGATAGACTACTGGGATCACACTGTTGTGAACTGTGAGCAAATGCAATGAATTTCAGGTATTTTGGAATGACAGACGTGATTAGACTTTGGCAAACTGACACATTTGTGTAGTGCAAAGGTCAGGCTGGATGTGAAACTAATATGTGTACTCTGTGTCGGTACCAACCAATCTTCCAAAACTTGCTTGCTTTGAAAGGTAGTAAGGGTTCTGTGATTGCTGTTATCTCTGAATCTGCACTACAATATGTAAAGACTTCATTTTGCTATGCAGATTTTAGTATATGGCAGTTGCAATACTGGATTTTTTTTTTCTCTGGTTTTATCATATCTTTATTGGAATCTCTTATTTCAGAACAGAGCTGGGGGCATGCAAGTTGCTCTTACTGGAATGTTTCAGTCCCAGATGGTTGTGAATAACATGTTCTGCACCCTTAGAGAAACTCAAGGATTTCAGACTACGGGGCAACAGAACCTGCCAGGCTCACAGAAGGAAAACGAAGCTCAAACAATTAACCAAAATAAAGATGATAAGCCTCAAAATAGTACTCCAACATTCTCTGAGAGAAGAGTCAAACAAAATGAACATGGAAAAGGAAATCACTGAGGAAGGCAGTTGGTTAGCAGTTTGCACTCATCTTCTGATTCCATTGTTTATGTTAAAAGTAACGGTAGCAGAATATTCAATGGTGCTCCTAGTGAAAAAAACAAAACACGTTCCTCAGAGAAATACATCCCTGGAGCAAATGAAACAGCAATTACATATGATGGAGTAAGAGGAGACCAAAGTAGACTGCAGGCAGCAAGCTGCTCTGGAACTGGTACTGTAGGATCTGGGTCTGAAATACAAGAAGGACTCCAAAGTGTTGACAGCATTGGAAAAGGTTTTAAAATGTTTTAACTGTTCTTCAGACTTGTGAGATTCAAAATAAATTTTGGATGCCTCAGTATAGTTTGTGAATTTTTTCTAAAGTAATTTAGACTTTGTAAACTTTAAAAGGATTGCATGATGTTTAGTATTCCAGTTTCATGTTTGCATCAATTGTCACTAGATTTTTATGTTTGGAAACATGTGATACACTGGTGGAATGGTTTGTACTACACACAGAGAATTCCTGGTGTGCAGACTTTATTGTGTATCACAGATCTCATTACAGAGCATAACCTGTTTTGAGCTAATAAACTTAATTTGAGTACAAATAATGCTTTTCATTTCTTTCTTTTCATTTATTTCCAGTGTTCTGCAGTGGAAAAAATGGTTTTAGGGCAAACATCAGTTCATGCCTATCAGTGTGTGTGTATGGCATTTCCAAAGGTAGTGGAAGTTGCAGATTTGAAATGAGCCCAGAAACATCTCTCAAAGAAGTATTTAAATACAGCCACTCTTGCTTACTGCTGTGACTGCAGACAATAGAATACAACACGTAGGAAAAGACCTCTAGGAGATGTCTAGTCCAACTCAGTTAGGTTGCTCAAGACCTAGAGAAATGTGAGAACATAAAATTAATGTAGTTTGTATGTTCTGAAACTCCTGGGGTTTGTCCTCCAGCTTCTTCTTCCTCTCTTTTTGCTAAAGCTATTGATTTGCAACTATAGACTAGCATAGATTTTTCATTTGCTCAGTGTGGCCCAGAAATTTATACTGTTCTGCACCAGAAATAACAAGATACTCTTCAGTATGGCCCTGAAAAATAAAGCAGTATCCTTCTTTGTATTTATACACTTCTCTGAGTGCCACACAAAAGCGATCAGTCAAGAACCTAATGTAATAATTACATAATTATTGGGGTTTAAACCAAGTTCATTTGGTTCAACAATGCGAGTGAATTTTGCTTTTGAATGAACCAGTCAATTTTATTTCTGTAAAATAACTCCTTTCTTTGACTTTTCACATGCAGGTGCTAGTGTGAGTACTTATTTAAAAGAATTTATTTTTAATTGCTCTAGTGAACTTTGGGAAATAGGGTAGTAGAATCTGATGTACGATGGGGGCGGTACTGAGACCAGTGGTGTTCAACATCTTCATCAACGACCTGGATGAGGGTACAATGTACCCTCAGCAAGTTTGCTGATGACACCAAGCTGGGAGGAGTGGCTGACACATCAGAAGGCTGTGCTGCCATTCAGAGGGACCTAGACAGGCTGGAGATTTGGGTGGGGAGAAACTTGATGAAGTTCAACAAGGGCAAGTGTAGAGTTTTGCATTTGGGGAAGAAAAACCCTATGTACCAGTACAGGTTGGGGGCTGACGTGCTGGAGAGCAGTGTAGGAGAGAGGGACCTGGAGGACAGGAGGATGACCATGAGTCAGCAACGTGCCCTTGTGGCTAGGAAGGCCAATGGCATCCTGGGGTGCATTAGAAAGGGTGTGGTTAGTCGGTCAAGAGAGGTTCTCCTCCCCCTCTATTCTACCTTGGTGAGGCCTTGTCTGGAATATTATGTCCAGTTCTGGGCCCCTCAGTTCAAGAAGGACAGGGAACTGCTTGAAAGAGTCCAGCGCAGAGCTACAAAGATGATGGAGTGGAGCATCTCCCTGATGAGGAAAGGCTGAGGGAGCTGGGTCTCTAGCTTGGAGGAGACTGAGGGGCGACCTCATAAATGTTTACAAATACGTAAAGGCTGAGTGTCAGGAAGATGGAGTTAAGCTTTTTTCAGTAATGACCAGTGATAGGACAAGGGGTAATGGGTGCAAATTGGAGCATAGGAGGTTCAAGGTGAATATCAGAAAAAATATTTTTACTGTGAGAGTGACAGAGCACTGGAACAGGCTGCCCAGAGAGGTTCTGGAGTCCCTTCACTGGAGACATTCAAAACCCGCCTGGACAAGTTCCTGTGTGATGTGCTCTAGGTGACCCTGCTCTAGCAGGGGGGTTGGACTAGATGATTTTTCGAGGTCCCTTCCAACCCCTAGGATTCTATGATTCTATGGTTATCTTAACGAGAATTTCAATTGTTGAAAACTCACCACATTGTGCAGTGGTTATGAAAAGCTCCTTTTTAAAAAGAGATCAAATTTAAATATTTTGCCTTTATTTCTCTATTTACAGTGTTAGCTAAGATTTTGAATGATGGTAATATCTTAACCTGTTTGATACAGACTTGGCAACATGTATTCCATTTGCAGAGTGAAGGGGACAGTGCGTGATAGAGCAATGGAAGATGTTTTTCACATACAGGAATCAGGCAAGATGATTCAGGCTGAAATGGAGGTGGGGGGAATACTGTGTAGCTTTGTTTTCACTCTGTCATCTGTCCTGAGAGTTCTGAAACACAGAAGATCTGTATAAATGCCTGATTCCAGTTGCTTGACAATTATGAAGAAACTCAAATACTCAAATGGAAATTTTCTACTGAGCAAATAGCACAAGATTACCTTAGCTATTGCAGTATTGCACAAGTAATTGCATAATTAAAGTACATTCTTTTTACAGACTTTGTTCAGAATAATAGCAGGTAATATATTAATCTATGCAATTTTTTAGATATTCTGCCAAACATTTGAGGTCTGTTGCTTCAGTCATGATTCTCTGTGATTCTGGTTGGATGGAAAATTACATGCAATCACTATATTCAGCATTAAAATGTTATGTGGTCCCTTTTTAAAAGTAAAACACTAATCACTGTGAAATGGTGGATAAAATTATAAATTCCAAAGTGCTCAGATTTGTGAGGTTAGGAATTCCAAATCTGTTATTTGTCCCTAAAAATACCATACAGAACTTAAAACAGTTTATGCATCCTATGCCTATAAGCAGGTGGCATAAATACTTTTTATGTTAAATAAATTTGCTTTTGAAGTATGAATTATGTAAAAAGTTTAATGCAAAATTGAGCAGGCTGTCTATAACTTAGATGTGCGTATTTTTTTTTTTAGTGGGATTAGAATTTAACATTTTCTATTTTTTATTTAATCAGAAACATGAAGGATTCTTCATCTCATCACTGGTGCTGTTGTATTGCACCCTCGCTGTGAGAATCTGGAGTGCATACTTTACACATAGTTGAATGCTGGATCTGAAGTCAGTAGAGATCATGGATGTAAGTTAGCTGGGGAAAAGTATTTTAAGGCTATCGTGAGTATTTCATAATTTTCAAGGTTTTTACTCATTTAAAAATGAATTTTAAAAGTATTTTGTGTATATACAGGTAAAACCCAGTTTTGTAGATATAAATAAATTTAAGAATAAAGTATTTTAGTAAAAAGTAAAAAAAAAATAATTTGTGTGTATATACACATATATTTTAGATGATTATGAAATCATTTAATCTCGTTTGGATAGAAAATGTTTCAACCTCTTGGTATCAGTTAATGTGTTATATATTTGTCTGTGTTCTTGTTTGACATAAAAGCCTGAAATCAATAGGCCAGCTACTTGCTAGAGAACATGTTACTGTTTACTTATAAAACTCCAGCATTTTTTTCTCTCTTCCTTTGGGCTTCACAGGAATTGCTTTCATGCTTCACACTTGCAATACTTGGAGCCAGATCTCTAAAAAACAAAGTAACACCAAACCTTTGTCTAAACTACCTATGTCTTGTTAGAAATCCCACCAAAACTTGCTAGTGTCACTAGTTTGCTGGACCAGATGTCCCAACTGCCTCCTGAAACAGCTGCCAGGTTGTTATGCAGTCAGCAGTATTTGTCTTTTAATAATGACGTCAGTTTGTGTGTTATTGTACCAGACAGAACTTGTGTGCTCTTGCTCTCCTTGAGAGAGCTGATTCTTTTCCAGCAGTAGTTGAAAATTTTTCTGTCCAGCACGACATGAAGTCATGATGAGCCCAACAAAAGGTCACTGAAAACTCAAACTTTATTTACATATAGCACTTTGTTTTGTTTTTCCAGTTATGCATAATTGTAAATACAGTGCTCTCTGCTTTTGTGTTAATTATGCAAATCCATGTTCATCTATAGGGATTTCTGACAGTGAAGGGTCAGGTTCTTTGTCAAATGCTGGAAGCCAGAAGCATTTGTGGAAGTCAATGGTTAAGAAAGTTTGTATTATATATTAGGTCATTATGAATATTGATACAATACATTTATGGGTTTTGATGTAATAAAATATTAAATAGCAAAATATGAAAATAGCAGAAATCTCAATTTAATAGAAACAAAACAGTGACATCACCTTTACTATTGTTCCACTCTCATGTTTTCAGAGGATTTACAACAAGGTATCTTGTGTGGCAGAATAGTTTAGTATTTAGGCATGGTAGCTTAAATGCTAAATGTCTTGCATTACAGAAGGTAGGGATCCTGCTTCTCTAGGAAAGAACTTCACTCAAAATACAAAGTCTTTTGTGTACTGTGAAACCACCTCTTTCAAGATGAAGTACCACCTGAAACTCGTAACTGTAGATGTCTATTTGTCATTTCTCATGCATTCATACAGATTACTTTTGCGACAAGCGTCCCTGCTCTGCAGCCACAGTAGAGTTACTCTAGGTCTGTCTGTCTGTCTTGTCCGTCTGTCTGTCTTGTCCGTCTGTCTGTCTTGTCCGTCTGTCATCTATCTATCTATCTATCTATCTATCTATCTATCTATCTATCTATCTATCTATCTATCTATCTATCTATCTATCTATCTATCTATCTATCTATCTATCTATCTATCTATCTATCTATCTATCTATCTATCTATCTATCTATCTATCTATCTATCTATCTATCTATCTATCTATCTATCTATCTATCTATCTATCTATCTATCTATCTATCTATCTATCTATCTATCTATCTATCTATCTATCTATCTATCTATCTATCTATCTATCTATCTATCTATCTATCTATCTATCTATCTATCTATCTATCTATCTATCTATCTATCTATCTATCTATCTATCTATCTATCTATCTATCTATCTATCTATCTATCTATCTATCTATCTATCTATCTA